TAAGCCTGGAAAGCTAAATTGAACTCGAACTTGGTACACTATAAAGGGACTCGAGCTCATCTAATCGAGCTCAAGCCATCTCCAATTCGGTAGGTGCTTGAGCAAAAGTTGTTTGGAGCAGGCGTTTTCTTTGATTTGTCACTTTTCTCTTGAAAACTCTTCCCCACCCGAATCTCTCTGCTTCGCTATTATCATGCTTCAAAGCTTAGTCCCTCAGTTTCCAATCAACAACAATAGCAACAATATTAATAGCAATCAACAACAATTCTAAAACCTATTATCATTCTGGGAGCTAATTATACTTGAACTTATTGAGTTTAATAAAATTTGAGAATGAAAATGTAACAAGAAGAAGAACCACTCGAAGCTTGACGAAAAGACGAATTTTGTGGATGAGTTTTATGATTTTTGCTTGTGGTTGTCTTAGAGACACTAGGGAAGAAGATTAAGACGAAGAGATTATGAGATTTTTGTGCTGTGTTGGAGAGAAAAGTTGGTGGAAAACGAGTGGCTGTGAATGGGAGAAGAAAAAGGAGAGAAAGAGTGAAACTTTCTTTGCACACAAAGTAGGGCTAAAAAATATTAATAAATATTTATATTAGGTTAAATATTTATATTAATATATGTGAAAGAAAGTCATGAGTGATTTGATACTTGACAACAGCCCAAGCCCCAAAGTCTAAAACCGGCTGCCTACATAGTTCCCACTTCCCAATGGTGTTATTGATAAATCTCAAACTTGTAGATGTTGACAAGGGTGTGTTGTCAATTATAAAAACTAGAAAATTACATATTACCCCCTAACCCTTCGTATGAGAGCTAGGCTCACAAGCCTATGAACCGAGCTACATGCTGCTCAAACTCAGCTCGATTTGTATAACAAGTTCAAGCCGAGTTTTTTTCAAGCTTTACACGAGTTGAGCCGAGCCTGCTTGGCTGATAGCCCTATGAATCAAGGAAAAAATGCGTGTAGTGGTGGTTGTGTGGGTTACAAATTTTTATCGAGATTGTTTTGCAAGAGGACATATGGGACAAGTAGGTTGTGGAATAGACACACTATGACCCAATCGTTGATGTATAATAAAAGAATTTTTATTGAGGTTTGTATTACAATGAGAAAGTTTATTATCTGCAATACAAGTTATTGAATTTTGAAAATTTTCAACAAAATCCCTTATCCAATAATAAAGACTATTGTGAACTTTACCCAAGCCCATCTGTTTCCCAGTCAAACGGTCCTGAAATTCACACATATTAGGGAAGAATTTCAAAAAACAACTATTATCTTGGCAAAGTTTGGAAACAGAGATAGGGTTAAACCGAAAAGTTGGAACGAACAAAACCTTTTTAAGAACTAAACGTTTTGTAAGATGGACGGTTCCTAGTTGTGTAGCTGGGGCATTAATGGTCCCATTAGGCATACGTACAGAGGTGGATGGTTTTGTGGATGTGTGAGAAAAGTGTTTGGGATTACAAGCAATGTGGTCACTAGCTCCTAAATCAATTATCCAGATATAATCTTTAACAAAATTGAAACAATAAGATGTACCTACATAGGATGCCGTATTTGCCTAGGGAATTTGATTGAAAATCTGGAGAATCTATTGGTATTGATTCGAGCTGATTATGGGTGTTGAGATCTCATTTCTAGAATTTGCAATTTGAACCACTTGATTTGCCATTGGATTCCCAAATTTTTCATTTCGAGGATGTCCGTATAATTTATAACAAGTATCATGGGTGTAATTTTTCCTTTGGCAATTATAACACCATAATTTGCCCCATTTTAAGAATTTAGAAGGTCCAGGCCCATTAGATCCATTGTTTGAATATGGGCCGTTTGTTTGATTAAAATGAAGCCCATTGGTTTGATGAAAATGGGTTGAAGATCTTGGGTCGTTGGATTGAGTGGTCTAATCTAGGTCATTTATGGCTCCATATAAAACAACATTTTCTCACCTAGAAAACCTTAGCCGCTCACAATTTTCCCCTTTGCCTTTTCCCATTTCACTCCTCACACCATCAGACGACAAACCCACCAGTTGCTACCATCCTTGTTGAGAAGCATTGAACGCTATGGGTTCAACACCATGGTAAAATTCTTGGGTGGTCAGCCTTTGGCTCTCATCTTGAATGGCCAACTGATAAGTTTGCTAGAGCGACGGTGGTAGTGATGTCGCCATCATTTTTGTTCTAAATGGCAGAAAGCTATCATTTAGACCCATTAGAAAGTGTATCCATCGTTCTTGATCTTTTACCTTTTTTTATTTGTTGAAGAATCAGTGCTAGCCCTTCAATTGGTTCTTCGACTACGTCCAATTCGTTCCATATCACCAAAAGGCGATTGAGATAAGATGTGACGAGGAGACTGTGTTGCTTGATTTCAGCCAAAGTTTGCCGCAAAGTGAAAAGCTTTGCGAGGTTAAGCTGGTCGTACATCTCTTTGATATTGACCCACATCTCTTAAGCATTCTCTATTTGTGACAGTCTGATGGCAATCTCCTGGGTCAAAGAGTTGCTGATCCATGCACAAACAAGAGTATTACACCAATTCTAGCATTTGAGAAGATGAGGTTAAAAGGGTTTGGGAAGAGTTCCAAAGATGAACACTTACTTATCTTTCATGATTAATGTTCACAAGAAATCTATAGCCCATGTTGCATAATTTTTGGATCCCGTGAGTGGTTGTTTGACGAGAACGATTTTCGATCCATTGGAGGCTGGCGAGTAAAGGGGATCTCCTAGTTTTAATCGGTTGGTGGCAACTGGAACAATTTGGAAAATCCGGTAGGGATTTTGACCTGATGGGTTGGGATTCTGACCCATGAACCCGAATGGGATTGGGCAGTTTGGTGGGTTATGCCTGAGCAGATTTGATGTGTTTGGTAGGTTGGGCTTGAATTTGAGTTTGACCCAGTGAGTGGATCTTGGTGAGTTGGGCCAGTTTGGAGATGGGCTTGATCTTGTTGTTGTAAGGGCTCACTTGTGGTTGTGGATATTGGGTTCTGTTTTAAGATAACAATCTGTAAGTTGATTGGTTTTGAGAAAAGAGAGAAACTAATCCAAGTGCCTTTGTTTTTGCAGGTTCTGGAAAAAACTTGACTAGAGAGAAATGTTTGGCAAAAGTTGGATTAGGCTACTTGCCTTGATACCATGTTAGAAACTAAGCTAGGAGAGGCAAGAGATGCAATTAGATTGCTAGTGTATGCCAAAGAAGAGAAGAAATATATTGAATATATCTTTGTCTATTGAGAATTGTAACTTTACACTCATGTATTTATATAGTAGCTAATAAGCTAATAAACAGAAATGTAATCAAAATAATTACACATAATTAATGGCAATCAATCAATTACAGAGAATCAGCAATAAACCGTATTTACATTTTAATCATGTGCGTAATATCCCTAATTGAGGATAATTTTAGCATTCTATATCACATCAAATACTATTGTGTGCTCTGAGACAAAGAGCATCAATTGAAAGGTAATGTTCCTAATAAGTCAATTATTATATATATATATATATATATGGATTAGTTTGCTTTTTATTTTGCAAACAGAAATTAAAATCAGTCACTTTAGATAGCAATTAAAGAAACAGATCTAGAGGCGATCTTCAGATTAATGTAAACTGAATTATCCTTCTTCATTTCATGCATGAGAGAGCCAGCAGAAAACAATCTAAACGTTTACAGGGAAGCAGACTTTAATTGATTAATTTTATACTTTCTCATCTCAGGGGTGAAGCAAGAAATTAAAGCAAAGTATAATCACTTGAATTGGAATTGTAATGGTATCCAATCCCATTGTGCTTGTAAGGAAACCAGATGGATAAACTAGAAACAACACCAACAATAGGAGGCAACCACTTCAAGAACGACTTCGTCTCCAAAGAGGGATACAAGCAGTTCAATATATTAGGATCCAAAAGAACGTACTAGCACGCCCAACACAATCAGAGACAACGAAGCATGACCGAAGTCACGAAGCTTTAGCTTGTAGTCCTCCGAAACCACTTCATGAGGCCAAAGGCGGCCACTAATGGTTACAATCCCGTACTGCGTTACATTACCTTCTTTTTAACTGTCAGTGAAGCTAGAGAAAACACAAAGAATGCCACACATGACAATGAGAATGATTGTTAGGGTTTTTTCAGTGGTATGGTAGATCGGCAGGAACTATTAAAGAGTTGAGGAACATGAACAAGAAGAGTGTTCCGGTTGGGAGGAGTTTGACAAGGTTTGCAAAGGCTGTGAATGTTGCCTGTGCGACCATTTTGGTGCTTGTATTGAGTGTATAGCATCGCAAAAATGTTGTGTTTGTATTTATAGAGGGAGAGAAGGAGAACTTGAAAGAAGTAAGCAACTAAGCGGATTGCATTCCTTTCAGATAAGCGTGTGAGAAATTTGACCCACGAAAACTAGAATTTATGGCCCATAATGAGATAACACGTGTAAAAATTGCTTTTTTCTCATATGATGTAGAAATAAAATTATTACATTTTAAACAAAGACTTGCAAGTATATAGTATATACAAAGTTGCATGTGCTATGCCCAATCTATTATCATTTCCATCAGTCAACCTCTTTGTATATAACAGTAATATTGTACAAATATTCGGATAAAAATGTTGAAATTTTCTTAAGGGTTATTCTTTTAATTTTGTTCTAATTTTTATTGGATTTGGCTTAGTCTTGATCATTTATTTTATTATTGCTTCGATAATTAGGTCGAATAGTGTTTATTTGAATTGTCACATGAACAACGGTTTGTTCATGATTTTGCAAAAAAGAAATTAGAATCGTTACTTTAGATGTATAGCAAAGACAGATAATTTAGAGATGATATTCAGATTAATCTTTCTCCATTGGACAAACAAAATTAAAAATGAATATGTATCAATTACCAACCATGGATATTCATACTTTTTTTTAAAACATTTTATATTTGATGAACATAAGCAAACGAAGACATCAGTAACTCATAGTTAATCTACATTTACTTGAGCAAAGTATAGTCACTTGAATTTGAATTGTGATGGTATCCGATTCCATGGCGCATGTTAGGAAACCAGGCGGATATTGTAGAAATAACTCCAGCAACAACAGGCAGCCACTTCAGGAAAGAACTCGTGTCCAAAGAAGGATACAAGCAGTTCAATGAATTAGGATCAAAAAGAACCAGCACACCTAACACAATCAAAGATAACAAAGCATGAGCAAAGTCACCAACCTTCGGCTTGTAATCATCCGAAACCTTTGCATGCGGCCAAAGGCGGCCGCTAATGGTCACAATCCCGTACTGCGTTACGCTACCTTCTTTATAACTGTCGGTGAAGCTAGAGAAAACACAAAGAAAGCCGCAAACGGCGATGAGAATGATCATTAGGATTTTTTCGGTGGTGTCGCAGGTACCATTGTTAGATATTAAAGTGTTGAGGAACATGAACAGGAAGACTGTTCCTGTTGGGAGGAGTTTGACGAGATTTGCAAGGGCTTTGAGTGTTGTTTCTGTGGCCATTTTGCTGTGTGATTATAGCAAAAAATATTGGGTTTATAGAGGAAGAGAATTGAACGAACCAATGCAAGAAACAACCTACCGAGAAGCGTTGCTTTCACATATCGTGTAAGAAATTAATCCACCAGTAGCATTTCTTGCCATGATGAAATACATGTATAAAAAAATTACTTTTCTTCTTATGAAATAGAAGGAAACTGAACTTTAAACAAAGATTAATCTTGTCAAAGTCTACGTTCAAAAAATTGTTCATCGAATCATAGAAGGATACGGGGAAGTTGATATATTCTGATAAGAGAAGGACATCGTACCAGAGATTCTTATTTTAGATTAAACACGGAGGCTGTAGAAACTTTCCCTTCAGAAATTTTTTAAAATAATCTTATAAAAATTAATGATTAATCCAGTGTCATAAATATAATCATCTAGAAATTACCTTTGGATGGTCGAGTGATTCGATAGAGACTTTTAGATATATTACTCAAGAGTTGCTGAGTTCAAATCCATCATCGGATGCTAATAGGGGTAGCCACTTGAATTCTTACTTAGCCGGTAGTTCCAAGATTTTGGGAGATTAATTGAAGTGTACGTAAACTGACCTGAACAACCTCTCTCTCTCTCTCTCTCTCTCTATATATATATATATAGCTTTTTTTAGTGCTTTTATTTCCTGGAAAATAATATAATCACTGAAAGTAGTGCACCAAATTCATGCACCGAATGACATGACGCAATCCTAACCGTTAATTAATTATGAATTACTATTAATCGATAGTCAATATTACGTCACGTCATTCGATGCATGAATTCGATGCCCTATTTTCGGTGACTGTAACATTACTCTTATTTCCCATATGCCTGAATCTCTGCAAAATGAGTACCAATTACGTCGGAGAATTAATGGATTGTGTAGGATTCATTAAGCACATTAGAAACATATTTTGGATACAATTAATGAAGTGTTATTGTAAACTTCCATATAAAATTTCATGGCATACTTATTATGTTACAAAAGATTATTTTTAAGTTTAAATTTAAAAGGATTTCATCTGAGTGTACTGTAGGAAAATTCTTACACATTAATTAAGTTTTTCGTATTTCAAATCTTTGTAATTTTATAATCTATTTTAAAAGTTTTATTCAGTGGAATATTAAATGAATGAGAAGATGATGAAAAAGAGTGATACATGAAGATAGGAGTATTTTTGTCCATGGAGATTGTGTGGTCATTATTTGGCCAATAGTTCCAAGGTTCTGACATTTGAAAAATTATTTGAGGTGCGCGTAAGTTGATCCGAATACTCTCGATCATTAAAAAAAAAAAAAAAGATTAAGGTTCCGTTTGGTTCATTATTGGGTAGTTTTTAGAGTAATATTTTGAAAAAAGTTAAATTGAGTGGGTATCACGATGTAGAATTTTAAAAATTAACAAAAATACCCTCTATGTTTATTTATTTACTAAACACCCCTATAATAAAATATTCAAAGTTAACAAAAACACTCCCAACCCACTTATTAAATACGCACAACCGGCCACCACCGTCGGAGGGTGGTCGGAGTAGCCGTATCGGCATATGACCGACTGGATCTTGAAATTTTTTTTGAGAGTTGTTTAGTTAAATTAACAAATTTAGGAGGTTTAAAAGAAATTGAATAATTTAGAATTGTATTTTGAAAATAGGTGAACCAAACACAAATTTTGTGTTAAATTTATTGGGAAAACTAGAATATATGTACCAAACGGAGCCTAAGTTGTGATGCAGTTAATATATGTTGTCATTTTGCTATTGTTAACCCCAAATTTGGTCATTGCACCTAATTTAATCATTTAATTAGTTGGCTATGCTTGGTATTAAGATTAAAATAGCATGCAAGTAGAGAATGACTGGACTTAAGAGTTTAGTCAAGCACGTTGTCATTACTCATTATTATGCTGAAAGCTATGCTTCAACAGTAAAATTACGTGCAGGAAAATGTGTTTTTTTGATGGATAATCTAAACAATGAGAGTAAAAAATTAAAATCACTATTAAACAGGATCATATGGTAGTCTTAAGAACTAGGAGCGGGAAAAGTTCAATTATAACATCAACGTGTTTATATATTGTTGATGCGTGATTTTGACACCAACAAAATGGAAGTGTGAAATGCTGAACTGGTTCAGAAGACACACATGAATGCAAGAAAAAAAATAAGAGTAAATGCAAGAATATATAGCATTCACTCTCTTGTACTATCATTTGTAAGTCAGTCCGCTAACGCGAACTGACTTCTATCATTAATACAAACATCAGTGGCCGTAGAACTTAGCATCCGAACCACTTTAAAAGCTGTTCCTATTGCATTTACTCTCATTTTTTTTCTTGCATTCACGTGTGTTTTCTGAGTCAGCTCAACATTTCACACGTGCGTTTCGTTGGTGTCAAAATTACGCATATATAATTCATTACCAATCTTATGAACTAATAATTCTGTGTGTTTATGAACTAATCATTTATTTGATGGCAATAAATGTAAAAAAAGTGAATATATAGTACCCGGATTCAATAAACTGTACATATACAAAATCAAAATTATATTATTTCAAAACACAAAATTTATTAAATACGATTTAATTGAAGAAAATAAACTAATATAAAAGAATTAACTGAAACTAACCTAATAATTATAAAAGCGATAAGTGGAGATGCAGGGGATCGAACCCTGTACCTCTCGCATGCAAAGCGAGCGCTCTACCATTTGAGCTACATCCCCATTTGTTTTATTTTTGTACAATTTTGTATAATTAACTGGAGATAAATATTGCCTACTATTCGTCCTATTTGGATGGTTAAATTATAAACAAGTATTATCATAATGTTTTTAATATTTAGTAAATTAATGATAATCCCAGAGAGTATATAATATACTTTAGAAACTCATAGGTGCTTTTTTTGTTTCACCATCTTTTGGAGTGTATGATAATAATAACCCGCTAATAAAACAATTTTACAGCTCTTTATGTTAGACTTGATGTATCGTGTTTTTTTGTGTAGTGTAATTTTATTTATATGCTATTAATTAATCACGAATATTTGTTTTTCGTTGTGTAATCTCTTAAAAATTTGATGAAAGATTATTCACACACACATAAGAAATAAATATAAATTAAATTATTATATTTATTTATAATAAACGTTAATAAAACAATTTACTAAAATATAACAAATTTTAGAAGTATAAATTAACTCTCAAACATAATTCAAATATTTTTTTGAAATTGTACATGCGCTCGAAGACGACAGCTTCGCACAAAACCAAGACTCAATAGCCGTAGGGGACACGACCCACAGGTCTCATTAGTTAACTTCACAACACACTCGAAGTTAATGGTTGCCTTTATACTCCATAGTATAAAGTTCAGCTCAGATGGTTGAATGAATCTAATCCGGTAGTTCAAATTTAATCAAATTCAATCCATGAAAATAATTTCATATATGTAAACTTGACAGATACAAAGAAGACGACAAGATGAACGTAAATAATAATTAACTTCTTAGAGAAAATCAAGAAAGCAAAGGATAATCATGACTTGGAATGTATCCGAGTCCATGGCGATTGTTCGGAAAAAATGAATACATAACGGTGACGAAACCAGTGACAAAAGGCAACCATTTCACCAACAAAGCCCTCTGAAAAAAAGAGTAAAAGCACTCAATTATGTCAGGATACAAAAGTGAACGAAATAGAGAAGCAACAGGAACAAAAATAATAATGGTAAAACAAAACAAACAGTAAACAAAGAAATTATACGCGCGATTTACCCTGGTTCACCTAATTTGGGCTACGTTCAGCTGAGTCAATATTATTGAAATATGCCTCACCTCTCTCGTTTACAATGAATGAATTGCTCTCTGACACATAACAAGAGAAAAGAATGTTTATATACTAGGTTTAAGAGATTAAACCTAGTATATAAACCTAGAATTGCTCTCTGACACAAAGAAATGTTGGAGTTGTTATAAACCTAGTAGCGGGACCCCCGAGTGCGTCTCCGTTACCCATTAATGCTGAAGTAGTCGACAACTCCAACATTCTCCCACTTGGCGAATACTTCACACAATGAAGGCCTACCTCATCAACACACCATGTAAACTTTGCTAAGCTCACAGCCTTGGTAAGAAAATCTGCAGCATTAACAAGTGTATCAACCTTCTCTAACAACACCAATTTTTCCTTCACCTTTTGCCTGANAACCATTTCATTGATTTACCTTGCCTTGTAGGTTTAGGTGATCGTAGAGGGTGGAGGAGAATTGTATGAGTCAGTCTCGTATCGAACCAAAACCGTAACGGCAACATTTTTTATTATAAAGTTTTTATTAGTTTTAATTGCACTATTTCATTATTTGCATTTAGTATAATTAGATTCATTAATCCAATGCCAATTTCATTTTCGCTACTTAAAATACATTAGGTTGTTAGTCTTGCTCCCTGTGGATTCGATCCTGCTTACCGCTAACTACGATACTTAGGTTTAATTTTTAGACTGTGATGATCGGTCTAACAGAATCCTATAGCGGTTTTACATGGAAAAGCTCAAAACCGCCTACGGGCTCGCGGGACCCCCGAATGCGTCTGCCTTGCCCATTAATGCTGAAGTAGTCGACAACTCCAACAATCTCCCACTTGGCGAATACTTCACACAATGAAGGCCTACCTTATCAACACACCATGTAAACTTTGCTAAGCTCATACCCTTGGTAAGAAAATCTGCAGCATTAACAAGTGTATCAACCTTCTCTAAGAACACCAATTTTTCCTGCACCTTTTGCCTGATGAAATGGTATTGTATGTCAATGTGTTTTGATCGCGAATGAAAGGCAGGATTCTTGGCTAAGTAAATAACCCCTTGATTGTCACACCCAATCTTCACAGCATCAAGTTTGAAACCAAGCTCTAAACTTAATCTTCGAAGCCACATAGCTTCCTTGCCAACATGTGTCAATGCCATGTATTCTGCCTC